CTCAAACAAAACAACATATATATGCTCTTGCCATGCAAGCCTGGTGACCCAAGTTCCATCCCCAGAACCCATGTAAAGGTGGAAGGAGAGAACCAGCTCCACAAAGTTATCCTCTGCCCTTGACATACACTCTTTGGTATGTATGCCCCCCACACACATCATGCACAATTATACACACGATAATAATAATGTGGAGTAATAGAAGACATCAGCTGCTGACCTCTGGCCTCTACACACCTATGTAGGGGTGTATACACACGCGCGCACACACACGCACACACACACACACACACACAGAAAACTGGGCATCTATAGAACTGCGTGTAGGGCCAGATCCCCACAGAGGGAATTCCCAAATGATCTCACTTGTCTGTGAGGACACAGCAATACCTGTTTGGACACATACCTTCATCTTCCTGTCCAGCATGGCCCACCTCTACTCCTAAGGCTTTCCTTCTATGAATATGCATAGCCAGTCATTTCTCAGAGCAGACCTTTACCTTCCTTATCCACCAGCCAATAGATGGTTGACTGGACCCATTCTCAACCCAGTCTTCAGGAAAGGTTTCTGGGCAGCCCTCCGCATCCTCAAATCTGGATCAGGATGAGCTTCTGTGGCCATTTTCTTCCTTCTTGTCTTGCAGGAGCCAAATTTTGAAAAGCAAAACCACAAATTTTGCTATTGCCCAGAAGAAATCTGTTATCAAAGATAATCCCCATGGGCACTGAATCCAACACTTGTCTGTTTGAGGTAGACATGATCTTCCCCTCCCATTTCCTACTTCAGAATGACTGAGAAGCCAGACTCCTCTTTCCCCACAATGACCTTTAAAGAGACAGCTCATGTCCTGCAGAAGCCCAGCTTCCTGAATTTCTGATGGTATTTCTTCTTGATGTCATTCTGTGTGTGTGTATGTGTTGAAACAGGTCTCACGTTATAATCCAGGCTGATCTGAAATGCATTATTTAGCTCAGGCTATTCAAAAATTCATGCCATTCTCCTGCCTCAGATTCCCTAGTGTTGAGATTACAGGCACAAGTCAACATACTCAGTTTAGCATGCTTTTTGTTTCGTTGGTGGTACTAGGGATTGAACCCAGGACCTTGACCATGCTAGGCAAACATTCTATCACTGAGTGACAGTCCCAGTCCATGGATTTAGTTCCTTGGCCCCTTGTAAATGAGAGTTTAAGTGGCACATTTTTTACAAGACTGGCCATCGGTGATTAGATGGCACCAGACATTGGAGACTTCACTCAGATCAACCATTTGGATAAGAAAGGCCTTTGATTGTTCCACAAGTAAAAGCATAATTTTCACTTTGTGATTAAAAGTAACTGGAGGGGGCCAGGCATGGTGGCGCACACCTTTAATCCCAGCACTTGGGAGGCAGAGGCAAGCGGATCTCTGTGAGTTTAAGGCCAGCCTGGTCTACATAGTGAGTTCCAGGCCAGGGAGACCCTGTCTTAAAAAGACCAAAAAAAAAAAAAAAAAGTAACTGAAGGAGCCAGGCATGGCACACATCTTTAATCCCAATACTTGAGAGAAAGAGGCAGTGGATCTCTTTGAGATTGAGGCCAGCCTGATCTACATAGTGAGTTCCTGTCTCAAAAAAAAAAAAAAGATGACCTTGAACTTCTGATCTTCCTGTTTCTGTCTCCAAAATGCTAAGATTATGCACCACCCCCCAGTTTTATTTGGTGCTGCTGATCAAACCCAGGGCTTTGCGCATGCCAGGCAAGAATTCTACCAACTGAGCTACATCCCCAGCTCCTAGAATATATTTTTCTGGTTAAAAAAAATGATATTCCGGGGCTGGAGAGATGGCTCAGTGGTTAAGAACACTGGTTGTTCTTGCAGAAGACCCAGGTCCAAATCCCAGCACCCACATGGCAGCTAACTATTGTCTGTAACTCCAGTCCCAGGGGATCCGACAGACTGTTCTGTTCTCGAAACCATTGCACGACATGGGTGCACTTACCTACATGCAGACATAACACTCATACACATAAAATAAAATTTTTTAAAAATTTAAAAATTTTTTTAAGTTTAAAAAAAAGATATTCCTTTAATCAACTGGACTGGACTACTATGTTCCTCCCAAAATGCTTTTTTAAATTTTTATTTATTAGCTTTTTTTTTTTTTTTGGTTTTTTTGAGACAGGGCCAGCTGTCCTGGATTCACCATGGAGACCAGGCTGGCCTGGAACTCACAGAGATCTGCCTGCCTCTGCCTCCCGAGTGCTGGGATTAAAGGTGTGTGCCACCACGCCCAGCCTTATTAGCTTTATTTTATGTGTATGAGTGTATTACCTGCATGTATGTAAAAGAACCCATAAAAATGCCCTTGGAAGTCAGAAGAGGGCATCAGATCCCCTGGAACTGGAGCCACAGACGGTTGTTAGCCACCATGTGGGTGCTGAGAACTGAAGTCTAGTCCTCTACAAGAGCAGCCAGTGCTCTTAACTGCTGAACCACCTCTCCAGCCCCATGAACAGATTTTTATTTTCTCAATGTTTTACAATTCATTGCAGTCATTTTTCTTAATGGTTACATTTAGCAAAATTCAGAAAGTAAGAAATATCTTCAAAGCACCTTTTTGACCCTGTCTCAAAACCCCAAACCAAACCAAGACAGACCAACCCACAACAGCTCTTTGAGCTTAGCATGTTGGATCACACATGCCTGTAATCGCAGCACTTGAGAATGAGGTAAGAAGATTGCTGCAAATTTGGGGCAGCTGGGTTAACATGAGTTCTAGTCCAGCCTGGGCTACAGAATGAGAACATGCCTCAAAAACCCCACCAACCAACCAACCAACCAACATAAAATCAAAACAGCTCCTTTGACCTTTTTAAACATTTTTGAGTCTTCCTTGCTTCCTGCAACTGTTCTGACCTCACTTGGATTTTGAGATCAGCCATTTCTCCAAGGAGCCTGTTGCTTTTAGTGTGAAATCAAGGTCTGGGTGGCATGTCATGTGCACTGATGGAGTGCTGTATTCTTGTTTTGTTTTGTTTTTTACTTTATGTGCATGAGTGTTTTACCTGCATGCATATAAGTGTACCACATGCGCACAATGCCCACAGAGGCCAGAAGAGGGCGTCAGAGCCCCTGGAACTGGAATTATAGACAGTTGTTAGTTACCATGTGGGTGCTGGGAACCAAACCCAGGTTCTCAGCAAGAGCAGGCAGTGCTTTTAACCTCTAAGCCATCTCTCCAGCCCCATTCTCTCTCTCTCTCTCTCTCTCTCTCTCTCTCTCAGATTTTATTTTAAATTATGCGTATTGTGTTTCTCTGTGTGGCAGTATGTGTGTGTGTACAAGTGCCCTCAGAGGTCAGAGGCATTGGATTACCTGTAGCTGAAGTTATGGACAGTTGTGAGCTGGCTGATGTGGATGCTGGAAACAGAACTCAGGGCCTCTGCAAGATCAGCAAGTGCTCTTAACCACTGAGCCATCTCTCCAACCCTGTGACTGGTTTTAGTACCCATTCGCATCCCTGGCCTAAATCAGTTATTCTTTTGTTGTTGTAAAATAGCCAGCCACACACACACACACACACACACACACACACACACACACGCACACATTCTGGCCTGAAACTCCATATGTAGCCTAGGATAAATTTTACCTGCTAAGCTATCTCACTGGTCCACACTCTTTCTAAGTTCCTGTAGTAGGTATATGTACCAGGCCTTGGGGCTATGGGAAGAACAACCCTTCTCCATAGCCCAGATCTGGTCATTGGCCTCCCCACCTCTCATGACTTGGGTACCCAGGTCACTAAACAGGGGTAAAGTATCTGTTCTCAGTGTTCATACTCCTGTAGGATGATCATTCCAACCCAAAATGGCAAATATAGTGCCCCAGCACTATATTAAAAAATAATAAAAGCCAGGCATGGTGGCATGCACCTTTAATCCCATCACTCAAGAGGCAGAGGCAGGTGGAGCTCTGTTAGATTGAGGCCAACTTGGTTTACATAGTAAGTTCCAAGCCAGCTGGGGCTACAGGGAGACCCTGTCTCAAATAATAATAATAATAATAATAATAATAATAATAATAATAATAGATCCAGGTGTGGTGGTACATGCCCATATGCCCATAATCCTAGCATTTGGGAGGCAGAGGCAGGAGGATCACCACAAGTTCAAAACCAGCCTGGTCTATGTGGTGAGTTCCAGACCAGCCTGGGCTACAGAGTGAGAAAAAGCCATGTCCTTGGGCGTATTACTCCACCTAGGGTGTGGGGAGGTCCAAGACATCTCCAGAGCTTGTAGCATCTACAATGCCTTCAAGGATAAAGTTAAACCCTGCTGTTTGGCTCTGAAGCTTGGTGGACTTGAAGCCCCCACTGTTGGGAGAAGGGGCTGTGAGCTGTAAGATGCTGACTGGCATAGCTAACAGGTGGGACTAGAAGGGGGGAAAGCGAGTTGGGATCCTCCAACTCCTGAACAGGCTGGTTTTGTAACAAACAGAAGCTGGTACCAAAGGAGTCTGAAAGCCTGCAGCCAAGGGGTCAGCTGTCCCTCCAGCGCCAGTCGCCATGGCCTCTAGGTCAATACTATAACTTTTTAAGGAGGTTTGAGTATCTGGCTCAAGGAACCCAGAGGACCCAGTCCTCACCCGTTCTCTCTCTAGCCGTCTGGTAGAGGCTCAGGATCCGGTGACACCCAGACCAGGGGTGCCAGGCCTCCCTACCTACCGGCTAGGGGCACGACCCATCCTCCGGCTGACACCGGCAGGGGTGTGCGCGACCGTCGGGGCAGCGCCAGGCTTGGCTCAGCGGCCAGGGGCCGCGGGTGAAGACGCTGGCCCCGAGCCCAGCGGGAGCCTGGAGGGATGGGGAACCCGGGTCTCAGCTGCCGAGAGGGGTGGCTCCTCTCCGGCCCTTTCCGGGAGGCGGGCCCAGCGGCTGCGGCGGCGCCCGGCTCCTGCCCCGACAGGTGCGCGCTGCGCAGGAATGCGGCGGTCCTGACTCACCAGCGCCTCCTTCCTACCTGCCCAGCCATAAAGCGCTGCCCGCCCGCCCGCCGCCGCGCTCCCGACCGGCCCCTCCACTCGCGCGCTTCGCTCGACATAGCGGCCGCCCAGGCGCCCAGGACGCACGGTCCAGCCACGGTAGGTGCAGCTCCCGCCCGGAGACGGGCTCCGCAGGGCACACCGCCTGCCCCTGTGCCCCGGGACGCCAAGGCTGGCGAGGAAAAGGAATGCCCACTGCAGCCTGGGCGGCAGCGCGGGCAATTGCCTGGCTTTTGTTTCCCCCTTCCCTTTCCTGAAGATTGGCAGGCCCCGGCTACCTCTGCCCATGCTGTGCCAGGACAGGTGCCAGGCCTGCCAGGGTGTGCTCAGGGCACAGCTGGGAGCAGAGGGTCTGGAAGAAGGATTGTGGCCATGAGTCGTCCCTGCCAGAGGAGGCCGTTGGGTGGGTGTTGGGTGGGTAGAGACTGGGGGCTGGCCGGCTTCCTGGGCTGACTGCTCCCCTCTACAATGACAGCAGTGTAGTAGCCCCCTCGCCGTTTGTCTGGCATGGGTCTGCTCTGAGGTGCCCCAGTGCATGTGGGGTGTGGGGAGTTCCTGATTTTTTTCTTGGCCAAGCACCAACCGGCTCCCTTCCCAAAGCATGCCCTAGGTGGCTATCCTTGGGAAGTTTTCAGGACCTCACTCAGCAGCTCTATAAGCACTGTGGTCACTGTAACCTCCTTCCCCTCAGCCCCTGGACTGGTCTTCTGCCTGTCGTTGTGGCCCAGGGACTCCAGATGGCTCCCGAGGGCAGGGACAGGCCTCTTCCTCTACTCCCACAGCCTTGCCACACCCTGAGCACAGGCCCTGGCCCAGGTGGCTGGTTGGTCTCTGCCCTCATCAGAACTAGAGGTGAAAGCTGAGTCTTCCTGGGGCTTGAGGGGAGAGAGAGCAGCTGAAGGGACAGTTAGGGAAGTCTGTCTGTCTAACCCTCATTTCCAATGGGTGACAGAATGGGCAGGGGGCCTAGGGGTGAAGGTTTCAGCCTGGAGGACATGTGACCTGCCATGGCCACATGTTCTAGTAACCCTACCATGCTAACTTTTATGTGAAATCTCATTGTTTCTAAAATGAGAAACTACTTTAAAAACTATATGCTAAGCCTCTCCCCACTGGGGCTCTGTGTGGGTGTCTTAGCAATCCTGTACTGAAGTGTTTGGCTATGTGTTGCTGTCCGGGCTGTTTGTGACAGCCCTGTATGTGAGACCTGTGAGAAGAGCTGGGCTTGTCCCTCTAGTGCCCATACCTGCCTGTAATGGTGCCCCAGGGAGGCCAAATCTGCAGCCTGTTACATTGTGTAGCATGTGGGTGTGGTACGGTGCCTACGCCTAAGGCTGCAAGAAAGTCATTTCCCCGTGGAGCCACCCCTCAGCTGACTCAGGCTCCCTTCTGACCACTGCCCTGGTAGGGTGGCTTCTCCATGCTAGCTCTGCCTGTGGATATGTTGGGGCTCCTGCCTGTCTCCCCAGGGACCGTACCTTAGATTCAGGAAGAATTTTTTTTCTGAGCAGAGGGCCTCAACCCCCCAACTGTGGATCTGGGGTTCTCCCTACCTTACAACCTGAGAAGCTAAGAAAGTATCCAAAGAGGAGGTCCAGTGAACATGGCCTTGGGCCCCCGGGAGGGAGTTCTAGAGAAATAGGTGTGGCCCTGGCCTTTATACTCTGCTGTACAGGCCCTGGTAGCTCTGTGGCCAGCCTCTTCCTGAGGCTTCAGGTTGCCCATCTTTTCATAGACATCTAGAATGCCTGGGCCCACTTGGAAGGTTCCTGATACACTGAGATGATTTAATGGTGAGCCAAAGGCCCCCATGTGTAAGAGTGGGCAGCAGGGGCTTTAACCCAGGGGTAAATTGCTCAGGGGCTCTGAAAACTCAATTCTGGGATAGGTGGAAGTTGGGGAAAGAGTAGGGGGTTCAGGCCCCATGCTGAACATGCAACAGTCAATATAGAACCCAGATAGTCCCATTCCCTAGTTAGTACCCCTTCTCCTAGGCACACCCATCCCCTTCACAAAGGGCAAAGTAGTCAGTACAGAATGGGCAGAGGATACAGTTACACTCCTACAGAAGTATCCTACTTATTGGGTGACTATGTCCCTGCCACACTTGACCCAGGCCCACTGGGATCTGAAGAAATCCCACCCTGTCCTCAGTGAGACCAACACCAAAGGACTGAGACAGAGCCCACAAAGGCCAGAGAGGGCCAGTGTGAGCAGGGCAGAGTCATAGAGGGCATGTGGCCTCTGCAGGGATGGCAAGGAAGGGGCAGTGAAGGAACGAGGCATCATATTGCCTGTCCTTGCCCACTCACAGTAGGGCACCCTTGGTAGCCACCCCACCCATTAGAACCTCCATCTTTTCTGTGGGCCACAAGAAAGATGAGGTAGAAATAGTCAGCATCCCTCTTCAGCCTCCCAAGTGCTGGGATTCCAGACATGATCCACCATGTCTGGCTTGAACCTCCATTTCCACACCACACAATGAGATGACCTCACTTGACCTGTAGAACTCTCGTGGGGATCTAGTGTGCCAACACTGCAGACCAGAGCTATAGAGGCGTCATGTGTCCACTGTGCTTCTGCAGGAGGAAGAGGATGGCAGGGCCATGTTCCTGCCCGTGGGTGAAGCTGCTGCTGGCAGTGATGCTGAGTGTCAGCCTCCCTGGAAATATGGGTAAGTCTAAACGTCCTGCAACCCCCTTTAGACAACTCTTAAGACAAGACTCAGTCATTTACAACTGACACCTGTACATCTCTCAAGCTGGCAAACCGGAGGATCTGTGTTCTTCTTCTCTGATCATTGTGAGCCCTACTGGGTGGCCTGGGATAGAAGGAAGAAGGCTGTGGGGGAGGATAAGCCCAGTCAGAGGAGGAACTGAGGCCTTGACAGTGGAGCTGAAAGTTTTAGAGGACTTTGCAGAGACACTGTTGACATGTCATTTACTCTCTTGAGTGGCCCCAGTTGGCAAATGGCTGGAACCAGCTCCTACCAGTTAAAATTTCTCTTCCAGTTAAAGTCACGTTCATAGCTTGAAAAAGACAATGGTGGGCATATTTTAAAAATATTTTTATTTATTAATTTTATTTTATGTGTATGAGTATATTGCCTGCATGTGTGTAAGTGCACCCAGGTCATGCAATGCCTGCAGAGGTCAAAAGAAGGCATCAGATCCCCTGGAACTGGAGTTACAGATGGTTGTTAGCCCCCATGTAGGTGCTAGGAATCGAACCTGGGTCCTCTGCAAGAGCAACCAGTGCTCTTAACCACTGAGCCACCTCCCCAACCCTAATGGTGGAAATATTTACACCACAGAAATTAACAATCACTGGGAGTCAGGGTCTCCTCTCCCTCATGAGAACCATTGCCTGATGCCCAGGAGAACCCCTGTTGTATACTCTGGTACATAGAACCAGATTCTAAATGAAAAAAATCACGGGGAACCCCAATCATTTCTTTGTGGAAATTGGGGGCTTTCCACATTCGTTTGCTGAGAATCTACTGTGTACCTGGCCTTGTATCAGGTCACTGGAGTCCTCAAGTGTGCTGGGCCTTTTAGTAGGCGATAAACAAGACAGGCATAGTCCCCTGGCAGTGTATGGTAGCTGTGGCTTGTCACAGGGGTCTTGACAGATGGGAACATTTGTAAGTCCTCACAGTCATGGCCAACCTTTTGACACTGAGACAAGACATTGTCATCTACAAAGTTCATGCTTGAGGACCCTGCAATCAAGTTACAAAAGAAGAAAGAGAAGAAAGTTACAAAAGGCTGTAAAAAAAAATCTCATGATGTTTTGATTAAATTTACAGTTTTGTGTTGGGCTGCATTTATGCCTATCCTTGGCTACATGAGTGTGTGGGCTACAGGTTGAACACACCTGGAAAGGATTTAAATGACAAAAAAAGCCAGGGTGCTCCAGCCAGCAGAGCCAGCTCCTCCATCTTAGCCTCACCGTCTAAGTTTTAAATTTGAGACCTGGCTATGCTCTTTCCTGGCTGTGCAGACCATTTCTTCTTCTATAAGATTGGGAGAGGGGGTGCTGGCGAGATGGCTCAGCAAGTAAGGGAGCTTGCCACCAACTATAATGATGAGTTTGATCCCTGAGACTCATGGTGAAAGGAAAGGACCAACTCCTACAGGTTGTCCTCTGACTTCCACACATGCACAGTGACATGTGAACACACACAGACACACACACAAATATAATGTAATAATTTTAGCCTAGCATGGTGGTGCACACCTTTAATTCCAGCACTTGAGAGGCAGAGGCAGGAGGATATCTATGAGTTCAAGGCCAGCCTGGTCTACATAAAAAGTTCTGGACCAGCTGGGGGAGAGAATCCCCATTTCTCTCAGATGAGGGCACAGGTGGGAAAGGGTGTGCTCACTGGTGAGGCCCCTCCCTATGTATCCTCTGTCCACCAGCCAACCGCTGCAAGAAGGCTCAGGTGAAGAGCTGCACAGAGTGCATCCGTGTGGATAAGAGCTGTGCCTACTGTACAGATGAGGTGAGCTGCTGTTTTCTAAGCCTTCTGGGGCCAGCCTGGACCACTTCCCAACCTGTCCACCACCCCATGCCCCACCTCTGGGTCTGGCCAACTCCACCCTTGCCACCCCCTTAGCCCAGCCCCAGACCAGATGGGTGTGGGACAAGAGACAAGGGTCAAGAGTATCAGAAGGAAATAAACCCAATACACCCAGGGTTTGGACACCCATGGATTGGCTACCACCCATATTAAGCCCATTCACTTCTGACCAGCTGTTCAAAGAGAGGCGTTGCAACACCCAGGAGGAGCTGCTGGCCGCAGGATGCCGTCGGGAAAGCGTGCTGGTCATGGAGAGCAGCCTTGAGATCACAGAGGTGTCTGGAGCTGGGGTGGAAGGCTGGGCTCTCCGTGTGTCAGGCTGGCTGGTTATGGAGGGCCATGGTGCCCCTTGGCAGGCCTGAGGGCAACCCCTATCCGGTCTCTGGAGTGACCTCCTAGCAAACTGTCCTGCTGCCTTGGACACAGGAAACCAGGATTGACACCACCCTACACCGCAGCCAGGTGTCTCCCCAAGGCCTGCATGTCCGGCTGCGGCCGGGTGAAGAGCAGCACTTTGCCTTTGAGGTGTTTGAACCCCTGGAGAGCCCTGTGGACCTCTATATCCTCATGGATTTCTCCAACTCCATGTCTGATGATCTGGACAACCTCAAGCAGATGGGGCAGAACCTGGGTATGACTGCATCAGTATTAAGAGGACTGTGGGGTGGAGGTAGGATTCACCCAGGCAGCTCAGGAAACCAAGACACAGGACGGCTGCACATATACCACAAGGAAAGACAGAGTATCTGTGTGTCTATCCCTGCTCCCAAATACTCACATCCTCAGGTGAAGATGCTGGCCAGTCTCTGTTTAGTACTTGAGACGTTATAGAAGACCCAGACATGGTAAGCAGTATAGCCATCTGGCTCTGACAAGGAGGGTACGCCCTGCCATAAGGCCATGGCTTCATCAGCTCTGCAGACCAAACTGAGTTCAATGCCTAGCTTCCCCCCTGTTTGCTAGATACATACCCCTACTCTAGTCCAATTTCCCCATCTATAAACAGGAGCAAGAGCTATGAGAGCATAAGCCAATATTCAGTGTGTGACATGTCAACAAGAGGTGGCCTTTTGCTGGTTTCTTCCTTCCCGAGTCAGCATGGAGCCCCGTGTCTATGTGGGGGTTCAGCTGTTTTTCTTTTTTCTTGATGCCCAGCCAAGATCCTGAGCCAGCTCACCAGTGACTACACTATTGGATTTGGCAAGTTTGTGGACAAGGTCAGCGTCCCTCAGACAGACATGAGGCCTGAGAAGTGAGTGGCTGTGTAGGTCTGGGTGGACAGGGGTGCTTCCCATGTGACACTTAAGTTCTCTTCTGACTGGAATGAGTCACAGGCACTGGCATGTGGGATCTCTCCCTTTCTGACACTGTCTCTCCCTCCACCTCTGCCCAGGTTGAAGGAGCCATGGCCCAACAGTGACCCTCCATTCTCCTTCAAGAACGTCATTAGTCTGACAAATGATGTGACAGAATTCTGGAATAAGCTGCAGGGAGAGCGCATCTCCGGCAACCTGGACGCACCTGAAGGGGGCTTCGATGCCATCCTACAGACAGCTGTGTGCACAGTCAGTACCTGGAGGGGTCCTTCCAGCGTGACACAGGGCTCCAGCTTTCTAGGAAGGTCATGAGCTGCTGCTGGCCTGTTCTGCCATTAGGCTAGGCTCAGAAGTCTTTAAGAGGGCCCCTGGAGGCCTAGACCACCCCTAAGACTCTTTGACAATCCCAGTGGTCCTTAAATCTAATCCTAGTTTTGACATGTTTGGGAGGCAAGGTCCCCACCAGAATAGTCACAACCTGGTTTTGGATTGACTGTAGGACTTACAGTTCTGGAATATCCAGGGCCCTGAGGTGAGCCTCCCAATCAATCTCCCAGGTCCCACAAACTGCCCAGTCTCCAAATGAACTGGCATCTGTCTGTCTGTCTGTCTGTCATCTATTTACGTGTGTGCGCCACACTGCATGTGTGGAGGTCAAATGACAACTTTCGAGAGTTAGTTTTCTTCTTTCCACCATGTGTATCCCAGGGATCAAACTCAGATCATCAGGCTTGGTGGCAAGAGCCTTTACCTGCTAGGCCATCTCGCCAGCCCTGTGCTTGCAGTTAAAATGGCTCAGCAGGTAAGGGAGCTTGCCACCAACTATAATGATGAGTTTGATCCCTGAGACTCATGGTGAAAGGAAAGGACCAACTCCTACAGGTTGTCCTCTGACTTCCACACATGCACAGTGACACGTGAGCACACACAGACACACACACTAATGTAATAATTTTAGCCTGGCATGGTGGCGCACCATGAGTTGGTTTTTTCTTTCTTTTTATATGTACATCAACTTTTTTCATTTTCTCTAATTTTATTTATTTAGTCAGCTTTGTTTCGTTGAGACAGGGTCTCCCTGTAGCCATGGCTAGCCTGGAACTCACTATGTAGCCCAGGCTGGTCTCAGTCTCACAGAGATCTGCCTGCCTCTGCCTCCCAAGTCCTGGGATTAAAGGCATACACCAGCATACCTGGCTTATTTATTATTTTTATTTTATGTGTATGAGTGTTTTGCCTGCATGTATGTAAATGCAATGCTTGTGGAGGCCTGAAGAAGTGATAGTTTCCCTGCTGGAGTTATGGACAATTGTTAGCCTCTGTGTGGGTCCTCTGCAAGAGCAGCCTGTGCTCTTAGCTGCTGAGCCATCTCTCCAGCATCCCCCTCCATTGTAGTCATTTTGAAAATAGCCATATTGCAGATAATTTGTTTGTTTGTTTTGAGACAGGGTCTCCCTGTAGCCCCATCTGACCTGGAACTTGCTGTATAGATCAGGCTGTTCTTGATCTCACAGAACACTCCCCCTCCCAGAGTGCTGGGATTAAAGGTGTGCCCCAATGTGCTTGGCCATATTGCAGATAATTTAGAAAACACAGAATAGAAACTGCCTGTAATTTCACCATCACCCTCAATACCCTGTCAGGATATTTTGTTCCTTTTTCCTCATTTTATATAGTGGGTTTGTTTACCCATAATTCTGAAATTTCATCCTTTTTTCCCACTGAATACTATTACGAACCTTTTCTTTATGTTTTTTTGTTTATGTGTATGACTGTTTTGCATGCATGTATGTAAGTTCATCTGTGTCATGCAATGCCCACAGAGGCCAGAAGAGGGTGTCAGATCACCTGGAACTGGAGTTATGGATGGGTGTTAGCACCATGTGAGTGATAGGGACCCAACCCAGGTCCTCTTCAAAAGCAGCCAGTGCTTTTAGCTGCTGAGTCATCTCTCCAGCCCCACCCTATGTATTTTTTAAAAGATTTTATTTTATTTTTAATTATGTGTATGGGGGGGTATGTGCATGTGAATATAAGTTTCTTCAAGTGAGTGATAGGGACCCAACCCAGGTCCTCTTCAAAAGCAGCCAGTGCTTTTAGCTGCTGAGTCATCTCTCCAGCCCCACCCTATGTATTTTTTAAAAGATTTTATTTTATTTTTAATTATGTGTATGGGGGGGGTATGTGCATGTGAATATAAGTTTCTTCAAAGGCCAGAGCTAGAGTTCTGAAGCTAGAGTCACAGGCAGTCGTGAGCTGCTCAACATGTGTGCTGGGAACCAAACTCAGGTCCTCTGCAAGAGTAGCACATGCTCTTAACCACTGAGCTATTTTCCCCGTCCTCATGCACTTTCTGAACAAGTTGCTGTACACTGCTGTTCCTCTTTCACCTTGTCTGTTTAACAGTGCTGGGTATGCATTTTCCTATCAGTTAAAGTTTTCTTGCAGCGTGGTGAAGAGCTGGAGGGCAGGAGCTGTCCAGTGTACGTAGCTTTAATCTTGCATGGTGCTCATGGTATGTGCACTCTGCACTCCCTTCCCCTCCCCATCGCGACCTTCTGGTTTTCGCCATCATCACTGGCATGCATCTCTGATGATGGCACATGCTGTTGATCCTGTCATTTAAGCCCAGCCCTCCGTTAGGACCCGCTTCCCTTGTCCTCTATGATAAAGGTGAGTATGCCCTCAGGAAGCAGCCTGCTCGACAGCCCTCTTTGCCTTGTAGCGGGCCATCGGCTGGCGCCCTGACAGTACCCACCTGCTGGTGTTTTCCACCGAGTCTGCTTTCCACTATGAAGCTGATGGTGTCAATGTGCTGGCTGGCATCATGAACCGCAATGATGAGAAATGCCACCTGGATGCCACAGGCACCTACACCCAGTACAAGACACAGGACTACCCATCAGTGCCCACGCTGGTGCGCCTGCTCGCCAAGCACAACATTATCCCCATCTTTGCTGTCACCAACTACTCTTACAGCTACTATGAGGTGTGAGACCTGGGCCCTGTGGGCAGGAGGGGTCAGTGCAGGGGTTCCCTGGAGCTTCTCCGACAGACCTCCCTCCTTTCCTACAGCGTTTGGGCCCCTAAGAGTGGTTCCTGAGGGAAAGTCACTTGCCCATCCCTTAACTGAACTCCCAAGTAGGAGGGGACTAAGAGGGCAGACTCTAGAACATGCTGGCAGGTTCCGTGCCTCAGTTTTACCATGCACAAAGTAGGAAAAAGGGAGGTGCAAAATGGAAAAGCTTAACCCAAGTCCTGCATGTCTCCTGCAGAAGCTTCATACGTATTTCCCGGTCTCCTCACTGGGAGTGCTGCAGGAGGATTCGTCCAACATCGTGGATCTGCTGGAGGAAGCCTTCTATGTGAGAGGCAGTGTGGGCTGCAGAGGCTGGGGCACGGGAGGAGGGAGGAGGGCGGGCAATAGGTATTCATGTCACAGTTGAGAAGTGGGTCTGGGATAGGCCAGTAAGGAGGGTATCTGGCCATCCTTAGGGGCCTGAGGAGTCCACTTGGGCATGGCCCTAGGCACCTGGAGCATCTGCCATTGGGATCACACATACCACACACACTCAGATATGTCCTCCATGTGAGTCTGTGTAAAGGCCAGGCAGGCCAGGCTCCCCACAGACCACTGATCACCTGTCATCCTCTAGCGCATTCGCTCCAACTTGGACATCCGGGCCCTGGACAGCCCACGAGGTCTGAGGACCGAAGTCACCTCCAAGATGTTCCAGAAGACAGAGACTGGATCCTTTTCGATCAGGCGGGGGGAAGTGGTATGTTCCTGTGGGCACAGCAGGATGGGCAGTCAGGCATGATGTCCAAAAGGGATGGTGTCCTCTAACAAGGGACATACGTGGTCCCTAAGGTTCAGCTTCTGGGATTAGTACCCTGGATGAGCTGGGCCCATTCTTCTCCTTGTCCATAACCCTGTCCATACACTGGAGTGAGTGAGTAAACGCATCAAGCACCAAGTCATTAAGATGAGCAGTTTGCTAATGTCACAGAGCTAGAGGAGGCTCCTGTTACCAATGCTGTGATCCTAACTATTACTAAACAGAATGAATTCCAACCCTTAAGGAAGGGCAAGCAGGGAACTGGGGGTCAGGGACACAGATCCATCCCAGAAGCCTGGGGACCAAGAGCTTCCAGCACATTCCCCTGATCATCAAAGAAAAGCCTGCCTTTGCTGACAGCAGGATCTCTTCAGGGCACATACGATGTTCAGCTGCGGGCAGTGGAGGACATAGATGGAACACACGTCTGCCAGCTGGCAGAGGAGGACCAGAGGGGCAGCATCCACTTAAAACCCTCCTTCTCCAATGGCCTCCAGATGGACGTGGGCATCATCTGTGACGTGTGCCCCTGTGAGCTGGTACGATTTAGCCCTGCTGGGTGGAAGGGAGGAGCTAAGTCAAGCACTGGGTTCTTGAGTAATGAGGTAGCACCTTCTGGGGCCACACCTCCATGGTGGACTGTCTCAGGACATAGGGCGCAGAAGTACCTAATGGCAAAGCAAGGCATGGTAGAACATACCTGTAAGCCCAGCATTCAGGAAGCTGAAGCAAGAGGTCCACAAGTTTATGGCCAGTTTGGGCTACATAGCAAATTCCAGGCCAGCCTCAGCTACATAGTGAGACATTGTCTCAAGAAAAAACAAAACAAAACAAAACAACACTACAAAAAATGGGCAAGCGGGTGTGGTGGCACACGCCTTTAATCCCAGCACTCAGGAGGCAGAGGCAGGTGGATCTCTGAGTTCAAGGCCAGCCTGGTCTCCATAGTGAATCCAGGCTAGCTGTGGCTACAGGGAGACCCTGTCTCAAAAAGACCAAAAAAAAAAAAATCTCTGTGAGATTGAAGCCAACCTGGTCTACATAGCAAGTTCCAGGTGAGCTGGGGCTACAGGGAGACCATGACTCTGTGACCCTGGTCCCTTCCTTCTATGCATGCCACCATGGTTTTGTTCCAGCAAAAAGAGGTGCGGTCAGCTCGCTGCCACTATAGAGGAGACTTCATGTGTGGACACTGTGTGTGCAATGAGGGCTGGTGAGTAGGGGAAGGGAGCCTACCCTGGGATGTCCCACCACAAGCCCTGACCCTGGGTATACCCTATATTCTCAGCTGGGGGTGAAACGGCAGATCACAGAAAGAGCTGGGTGAAGGGTGCACACACTTGTTGGGTAAATCCAATTCAAAGTATTTCGGACAGTCCCGATTTAAGATGGTTTGACTTAACATGTTCTGGATATTCTGTTTTGCTTTGTTTTGTTTTGAATCAAGGCCTCACTGTGTAACCAAGGCTGCCCTCAAACTCACAGTCCTGTCTTATCCTCCCAGTCACTGGGGTTATAGATCATATGCCACCAGGTCTGGCTATGATTTCAAGATTTTTTGTAGTTACAATGATACAAAAGTAACTGAGGTTAGGCTGGGCTGAGTTACTGTTGCCAGGGCAGGTGCCATAAATGCCATTTAGTTTCCAACGGCTTTGTTGGCTACAGTACCATGGTAAGCTGAGGAATATCTGTGCATGGATGTGTGGACTGTTTCTGGGTATTTCCATGGTAGGACTGAAACAAAGTGGCTCTCAGGGGTGGGGTGGGTGTTAAGAGCAGTGTGACTTGCCTTTCACTTCATATCATCTGTACATTTTATATTTCAACCATGTGTAAACACATCACCTAATTAGAAGTGAGCATTAGCTGGCGTGATGGCTCAGGTCTTTCACCCCAGCAACTTGGGAGGCAGAGGCAGGTGGAGCTCTGAGTTTGAGGCCAGCCTGGGCTACGCAGTGAGACCCTATCTTTAAAAAAAAGGGGGAGGGAGGGAGGGAGGGAGGGAGAGAGAGAGAGCGAGAGAGAGAGAGAGAGAGAGAGAGAGAGAGAGAGAGAGAGAAAGGAAGGATTGAAGGAAAGAAAGAAGGAAGGAGGGAGGGAAAGGAGGGAGGGAAGGAAGGAAGAAAGGAAGGAAGGAAGGAAGGAAGGAAGGAAGGAAGGAAGGAAGGAAGGAAGGAAGGAAGGAGCTTGTAAAGCTTCAAGACACTTACTGGGTACGGTGGCACACACCTCTGATTCCAAGTACCTGCGAAGCTGAGGCAAGAGGATTGCTAAAACCCAGAAGTGCTACATGCTTGTGATCCTAGCACTGGGGAGGATTGGTGCAAGCTCAAGACCAGCCTTCTCCACTTAATGAGTTCCAGGCTAACCAGGGCTTCTTCGTGAGACCCTATCTATCTCAAAACAAAAATGAACAAACAAAAACCACCCTTGAGATACTGAGCAAGTCTATCACGACTTGAAACAGATGAGCATTGAAGGGGGACACTCAGTGGGCTGGTAACAAGGCCCTGAAGTTTGGGTCTCAGCTGAGTCACTGCTGTCTACGTGTCTTGGACCTGCCTCAGCCATCTCAGAGCCTCAGTTTTGTGACCTGTAAAATGGGAAAGTAAAAGCCCTAGCCTTCCTCCTGGGCTGTTCAGAAGTGACGAGGTCCTCCCTCAGGAGCGGCAAGACTTGCAACTGCTCCACGGGTTCGCTGAGCGACACGCAACCCTGCATACGAGAGGGTGAGGACAAGCCATGCTCAGGCCACGGCGAGTGCCAGTGTGGACGCTGTGTGTGCTACGGTGAAGGCCGCTACGAGGGTCATTTCTGCGAGTATGACAACTTCCAGTGTCCCCGCACTTCTGGGTTCCTCTGCAATGGTGAGCTCAGTGGCCTTGGCCAGCAGTGAGGGCAGTAAGGGTGCCAGGGAGAGGCAACCCCCAAGTTCAGGCTCAGTCCCAGCTGAACCTCCCTTCTCTTCTCTGCAATGTTGACCACCAAAGCCCCTAACAGCCACACAACTCTTCCTGCTTTAAAACTCCGACTCTTGGGACTGGAGGGATGGCTCAGTGTTTAAGAGTGCTGACTGCTCTTGGAGAGGACCCAGGTTTGATTCCCAGCACCCACATGGCAGCTATTGAACCATCCTTAACTCCAGCTCCAGGGGAATCCGAAGCCCTCTTCTGACCTCCACAGCATTGCACGACACAGGTGCACTCACATACATGCAGGCAATACACTCATACACATAAAATAAAAATAATAATATTAAAAAAAAAAAAAAAACCTCCGACTCTCCCAGGCTGTCTCTGGCAGTTTTCAGTGTCCATTCCCCCTTCTCCATTCCTCCATCTCAACAAGCTGGGGACCATGCAGTCTAACTCTCAATGGTTGGAAGGAATGTGGGAAAGAAACCTTTCTTCTCTCTGAAGATGCAAAATTCCTAGTGACAGGACACAGAATTATGTCTCCTCTACAGCCTTACATGGCCTGACACTGTGATGGGCCTAGGCCATGAGCATGTAGACTGGTCAGAGATGGGAAGGTAGGCATGACTCAGACGAGGAATGAAAATCTAGTCTTCGAATTCTTATTAAGCTCCTACCATATACTGACCACTGGAGGTCACACCCTATTTTCTATTCTTTTTTTTTTTTTTTTTTGGTTTTTTTGAGACAGGGTCTCCCTGTAGCCCCAACTGTCCTGGAACTCACTATGTAGACCAGGCTGGCCTTGAACTCACAGAGATCTGCCTGCCTCTGCCTCTCGAGTGCTGGGATTAAAGGCATGTGCCACCACACACGGCTGCTTCATTCTTTTTTTAAAAAAGTTACATTGATTTATTTATTATGTGTGCACATGGGTGGAGATCAGAGGACAGTTTGCAGGGATCTTCTTTCTCCTTCTACCATGTGGATTTGGGGGATCAAGCTCAACTTATCAACTTGTACAGCAAATGCCTTTACACGCTGGGCCATCTTGCTGGCCCTGACAGTTTAACTTTTTAAAATTATTTTTAATTATGTGTGTTTGCATATACACATGAATGCAGGTGCCCTCTGAAGGCAGAGGCATCGGATCCCTGAAAACTGGAGTTATAGATGATTGTTAGCTATCCAACGTGGTGCTGGGAACTGAACTCAGATCCTCTGGAAGAGCAATGTGTTCTCTTAACCACAGAGCCATCTCTCCAGCCCCCAGCTTAATGTCTTATTCACACTTGTAGTTTTTCTGACCTATCTCATTGTCCAGGAGGTTCCTAAACAGGGAGCATACTGGATCTGTTTTGGGGGATGGTCACTCGGCTTCAGGGTATACGGTAGGAGGCAAGATGGCAGGAAGACAGGAAGAAGATTCCAGGAAATTGAGGGTCAGCTTCTACCCCTGGGCTCCCAGAGGCCCACCCTGGCAGGTGACTGCCTTGGATTTCATATGTGAGTATGGCTCTACTCCTTTTTCCTTCCCCTCTCAACAGACCGGGGACGCTGCTCCATGGGACAGTGTGTGTGTGAGCCTGGTTGGACAGGCCGCAGCTGTGACTGTCCCCTCAGCAATGCCACCTGCGTCGATAGCAATGGGGTAGGCCCGGGCATGGGCAGGGAGTGTGGGTAGTAGAGGAAGCCCCAGTCAGGGCCACCCACCCTCTCCATGAGAGAGCCCAATGGAGAAGGGAACAGAAAAGGTGGGGCACAGCAGACTCACTGGCGACTCCTCCTGCCCCAGGGCATCTGCAATGGCCGAGGCTTCTGTGAGTGTGGCCGCTGTCACTGCAACAACCAGCAGTCACTCTACATAGACACCACCTGCGAGATCAACTACTCGGCGGTGAGGCTAGGGTCACTGGGGTGTGGGCATGGGAACCCCAGGCATGGCAGAGGGCGGGAAGGAGAAGCTGGCCAAAGGTACAATGCAGGGGAAGGGGCCCGCCCAACACAGTGCCGGTCTGCTCCTCCTCTCCCCAACTAGATACGCCTGGGTCTCTGTGAGGACCTTCGCTCCTGTGTGCAGTGCCAGGCCTGGGGCACTGGGGAGAAGAAGGGGCGCACGTGTGAGGAGTGCAGCTTCAAAGTCAAGATGGTGGACGAACTTAAGAAAGGTAGAGGGCAAGGGACCTGAGAGATGGGGTACTGACAGTCTAGGCAGAGGGCACCCTGAGGGGTAGAGTGGTCAACCTTCTGAGCAAGAGGCTTGAGCCCTGAGTTGCGGTCATACAGTCCAAACAGGGGTTGTGAACAAAGCTGGGAGGAGCCACAGAACCTAGACAGGGAGTGCGGAGCCTGGTAAAGATAAAGTTTGAGTAAGAGGCACAGAGCCCCAGCAGTGGGCACCCAGCTGAGTGGGGAACAAAGTACCAGGTGTGAGATAGGGCATGCCCACAGCAGTTCTAGGACCCATGTGGGGCACATAGTTGGGCTATGAGTAAGTGACCCGTTCTAGGCCGGCTAGTCTGGCTGGACACCACACTTGTGGATGGTGTGTGACTCAGGGAAGTAGGGGAGGTGAACTTGGAGGCTCTGCTGCTGCCTGTGCCAGGCCTGGGCAGGGCAGCTCCACCTCATCCTGATGACTTTTCTTGTGAGGGCACAGCTTAAGGGGACTTATGCTCTTCTTCAGGCCCTGTGGTGGGCCACAGAGGAGGAGGCACCTCACCAAGCTCTAGGATGCTGTGGGTGGAGGGCTGGATTCAGGGTGCCAGGCTAACTGTCTGTGGGTCCAGCGGAGGAGGTGGTAGAGTACTGCTCCTTCCGAGACGAGGACGATGACTGCACCTACAGCTACACCGTGGAGGGTGACGGCAGCCCTGGGCCCAACAGCACTGTGCTGGTACACAGGAAGAAGGGTGAGCTGGCAGGTGGGCATGGGGTGGCACCTGGAGGCAGGGCAGGCATGGGTACCACCTCCGTTTGCCTCTCTCTCCCCAGACTGTCCTCCTCACACCTTCTGGAGCTGGCTCATCCCCCTGCTCATCTTCCTTCCACTCCTCCTGGCGCTGCTGCTACTGTTCTGTTGTAAATACTGTGCCTGCTGCAAGGTGAGTCCAGTCCTAGGTCCTCTGCGGGTGCCGCCCTCACCAGGTCCCCACCCTCCTTGTGCTTTCATTTTTAAAACTGCATTTATTTTCTCCCTCTGTCTCTGTCTCTTTCTCTCTGTCTCTTTCTGTCTCTCTCTCTGTGTCTCTCTCTGTGTCTCTCTCTGTGTCTCTCTCTCTGTCTCTCTCTCTCTCTCTCTCTCTCTCTCTCTCTCTCTCTCTGCTCTGGGGGGTCAGAAGACAACTTTTGTGAGTCAATTCTCTCCTTCCACTATGGGTTCCAGGGATCAAACTCAGGCCATTAGGCTTGGCAGCAAGTGCCTTTACCTGCTGAACTACCTTGCTGACTCAAGTTTCAAAATTTCTCCCTGCTTCAACTTCTTCATTTGTACAATAGAAACAGGAGTCCTGACCCCAGAATTCAGTGATGAATTTTTTTTGAGATAGGGTCTCACTATGTAGCGCTAGTTGACCTAGAACTCCCTACGTAGACCAGGCTAGCCTTGAACTCTCAGAGATTTGCCTGCCTCTGCCTCCCCAGTGCTGGAAAACAGTGATGAAATTTAAGTGACTTAAATTATGTCCAGCTCTCAGAAAGGGACTGGCCCATATTAAGCACTATATTAAGCCTTGCCTTGTTTCCACCCGGCCTGGTTCCTGAAGGCCACTAAGCCCTAAACTCCTGTCACTCCTCAGAGGCAGCAGTGACAGTAAGTCCTGGAACCCAGCACAATTCTAGCTGCTGGGGCAGCTTTTGCTTGAGCTAGCTAAATGTGGCTATCACAATAGTGTGTGTGCACATGGCTTCGTTCTCCTTTTGGTGACCCAATGAAGTCAGCAGTATAAAGTTAGGGCCACTGTTATGACAGACACAGAAACTGAGTCTCAGAGGGACGGACGGTCAATACAAGGCCCCCTCCACCCACCAGATACCCAGAGCACTTGTCCTGGGGTAGACCTTGTGAGTCACACCAGGACCCACCAGGAGCTGACCATCTGGCTGGAAGAGACCAGAGGCACAAAATCCTGGAGGATGGCACAGCATGGAATACTGACTCACAGCATACTGTGCCAACCCCTGCTGACGTGGCATAATACATAATACATAGGAAGGAGGGTCTATGATCAAATACGTTTGAGAAATTCATTTTTTCCTCTGTAGAGCTCTTCAGAGCCTTTGGTCTAGTTGTTTGCATAATGAACATTCATGGATTGGGGATGCAGCTCAGTTGGTAGAGGTCTTGCTTAGCATGCATGAAGCCCTTGGTTTGATCCCCAGCACTACATAAAATTGGAGCATGTGATGCACACTTGTCATGCTAGCACTGAGATGATGGAAGCATGAGGTACAGAAGTTCAAGGTCATCCTCAGCTACATAGCAATTTTGAGGGCAGCCTGGGCTACATGAAACCCTGTCTCTAGATAGATACAGAAGTTCAAGGTCATCCTCAGCTACATAGCAATTTTGAGGGCAGCCTGAGCTACATGAAACCCTGTCTCTAGATAGATTAGATAGATAGATAGATGATAGATAGATAGATAGATAGATAGATAGATAGATAGATAGATAGATAGATAGATGATGGATAAAATAGGGGCTGGCAAGATGGCTCAGCAGGTAAAGTCACTTGTGGCCAAGGCTGACAACCTCAGTTTGATCCCTGGTACTCACACAGTGAAAGGAGAGAACTTACTCCATCAAGTTATTTTCTGACTTCCATGTATGTGCTGTGTGTGTCGTCTCTTGCACACACACACACACACACACACACACACACACACACACAATGTAACTGAAAAAATTAAAGAAAAAGAAAAGGGGCTGGAAAGATGGCTCAGTGGTTAACAGCACTGACTGTACTTGCAGAGGACCCAAGTTCCATTCCCAGCACCCACATGGCGGCTAACAGCCATCTGTAACTCCAGTTCCAGGGGATCTGATGCCCTCTTCTGACCTCTTCGGGCATAGCATGACATGGGTGCACCTGCCTATGTGCAAGCAATACACTCATACACATAAAATAAGAATAATAAATAGCCAGGCATGGTGGCGCACAACTTTAATCCCAGCACTTGGGAGGCAGAGGCAGGTGGATCTCTATGAGTTCAAGGTCGAGGCCAGCCTGATTTACATAGCTTTGAGACAGGGTCTCCCTGTAGCCCCAGCTGTCCTGAAACTCACTATGTAGACCAGGCTGGCCTTGAACTCACAGAGATCCACCTGCCTCTGCCTCCCAATTGCTGGGATTAAAGGTGTGCACCACCACGCCCAGCCAATAATAAATATTTTTAAAAAAATGAAAAAAGACTAGGGTTTGGGGAGATGGTTCAGTGGCTAAGAGTGCTTACTATACAAGCATGAGAACCTGAGTTTGAGTCCTCAGCACCTTTAACCATGGTGCTGTTGGGGCACAAGAGACAGGGGGGTTGTCAGGGCTTGCTGGCCACCAGCCTATCTTCAGGTTCAGTGAGAAACCCTGTCTCAAAGGAATGGGGTTGAGAGTGACAGAACAGGACACCTGAGGTCTTTATCTGGCCTCTGCACATCTCTCTCTCTCTCTCTCTCTCTCTCTCTCTCTCTCACACACACACACACACACACACACACACATACACACACACAAGGAGGGCTAGAAGTAGGGGTACCTGGGGAGGCATACTTGACTTGGGGTAGCCGTTTCAGCCTCATCCCCAAACTCTTATCTCCTAGGCCTGCCTGGGGCTTCTCCCTTGCTGCAGTCGAGGTACGAGCCTGGCACAGGCATGGACATGGGTGTCTGACTGCCCTTTCTCCAAATGGGGATGGAGGAGAAAGGGGATGGAGCCAGGAGCAGAGGAAGTGGGAGGCCCTGGGTTCCACCTGATGGGTGTGGCTGTGGAGGTCTAGGGAGGGCCCTTGCTGAGGACCTTTCCTGGCAGGTCACATGGTGGGCTTCAAGGAAGACCACTACATGCTGCGGGAGAACCTGATGGCTTCTGACCACCTGGACACACCCATGCTACGCAGTGGGAACCTCAAGGGGCGGGACATGGTCCGCTGGAAGATCACCAACAATGTACAGCGGCCTGGCTTTGCCACCCATGCTGCCAGCACCAATCCCACAGAACTTGGTGAGGGCCAGGGCCAGGTGCTTCCAGGCTGGGAAGTACCCTTAGGATCTGTGTTCCTGACCTGGGATCACACCATTCCTGTTTTCTTTGGGTGTCTGTGGGCTTGCCTGGCATGCTGACAAATAGCTGTCCCTAGTCCCAGCATAGTGTGTAGGGCACATACTCTGCAGTGCCTTCTATGCAGGGCCCTGATGACACCCATCCCTCCCCCCTAGTACCCTATGGGCTATCCCTGCGCCTTGCCCGCCTTTGCACCGAGAACCTGATGAAGCCTGGCACCCGAGAATGCGACCAGCTGCGCCAGGAGGTGGAGGAAAATGTGAGGACCCAAAGAAACTGAGTGGAGCTTGGGTGTGGGTGCTATGGCAGCCCATGAAAGAGCTGATGATTGAAGCCTCAGAGTCTAGACTTGCCCAGTCAGGAGAGAGAGGGGGGCTCTTTTGGACATGTGCCTGTCATAGGGTCATTCTGGGTGGCAGCAGACTCTGGGTCCCAGGACTCATCCCTCAGGCATGTGACAGCCAATCCTGAGAGGTCCCCAGGCCTATTCTCATGGTCTTCTCTTGCCTGGCAGCTGAATGAGGTGTACAGACAGGTCAATGGCGCACACAAGCTTCAGCAAACTAAGTTCCGGTGAGTCGGTTCCCCGCCACACTCTGCCCGGGGCAGGTGGGGATGCCTGGCTTGACTGAGCCCTGCCAACAAGCAGTCAGAGTTCCTGGGTTTGGATGGGAGCAGCTCATTCAATCCTCCAAGGGGAGTCATGCTCCACCTCTCCAGGGACTATGTGGCTCATGGCCCCCTCTTTGTCCCCACAGACAGCAACCCAATGCCGGGAAAAAGTGAGTTGAAGATACACAGGTGGGATAACCCCACCTCCTTCTCCTCTGTCCCCAGCTCCAGCCACTTACCCATCTTCCCCTGCTCCAGGCCCCTGGTCATGCCTTAGGAAGGGTAGGCCCTAAGTCCATCTTGGGTTACACCCTTCATTTCCTTTCTTGGACCATTCCTCTGACAAAGACTAGCAAGAAGTGTTTATCATGAAGCAGCCCTTCAGCTAAAACAATCAAGACCACACAGACCAGCCCCTGCCCCTACCAGCCCAAGACATAGCTCAGGGCCCTGCTTCTTCTCTCCAGGACTAGAGACCTTCCAGCTGAGCCTGATCAGCAAGCAGGTTACCAAGCAGATGACCATCAGGTTTCATAGCTCCTCCATACTGGGAAGGGGTGTGAGAATGGGCCCAATGCAGACACAAAACTGGAATGGCGACCTATGACCATCTATGTTCCGGGCTCTGGCCAGCTCCTCTGAGTGCTCACAATAGGCTCCATGTGTCTGGCCATCTCTCAGCATCCCTGTGAGGGAGGGTCCCTCGCTATTTCCATTTTCCAATGAGGAAACTGAAGCTCAGAGAGGTTAAGTCGCTTGCCTGATGTTACCCAGCTCTGAAGGATCACAGCCCAAATTTGAACCCAGGCAGCCTGACCTGAGTATTTTTGCTATCCCACATCCAGCCCTCAAATCACTGGCCCTTCTGGGTGAGGTGGGTGGGAAAGCCCCTTCCTCAGGTGAGGACAGGCTTAGCAATGCTCTGACTGTATTGTGAAGAAGGTAGAGCCAGCATGGGCCCCTGACACTGCCTGGCACTGAAGACCCTGCATCTCCTGCTGACTCACATCTTGTCCCCCTCCTGTACTTGAAAACTCCTCAACCTAGGCAAGACCACACCATCGTAGACACAGTGCTGATGGCACCCCGATCAGCCAAGCAGACACTGCTGAAGCTGACAGAGAAGCAGGTGGAGCAAGGGGCCTTCCATGAACTCAAAGTGGCCCCTGGTTACTACACCCTCACTGCAGAGCAGGGTAGGTTGGCAGGCTCCTTGGGCTGCTCCCCCTACCTGCCTATTCATGTGTACCCTGAGACCCATGTCTGACTCTCACACCAGATGCCCGGGGCATGGTGGAATTCCAGGAAGGTGTGGAGCTGGTAGATGTGCGCGTGCCCTTATTCATCCGGCCTGAGGATGACGATGAGAAGCAGCTGCTGGTGGAGGCTATTGATGTGCCTGTGGGTACTGCTACCCTTGGTCGCCGCCTGGTAAACATCACTATCATCAAGGAGCAAGGTTGGTCCAGATGAGAGGCAGAGGCAGAAAGCCAGGTCTGGCTACCTTGATCCTCCTGATAGCCAAGTGGAAGTACAACAGGACCATGGGGTCATTTAATCTCTATGAGCCTTAGATTCTCCATCTGTGAAATGGGTACAGACACTTGCAAGGAGGCCATGGCTGGGCCTCTCTTTGCATAGCACCTGGCTGTAAGTGCTCACTAAGTGGGGACTGCCGCTCTTCCCCTTTCTTCTTTGTGGTGTTCGGGTTGGAACCCAGGACTTCACACATGCTGGCAAGTGTGCTACCACTGAGCTATGTTCCTAGTCTAAGTGAGAATTTATATCCACAGCATTGTAAGGTGTGCCCATATCCACTCTCTTTCCTCTACTGAGAGGAGGGCTTGAGCAAGATATGGTACCACAGACGCCCAAGATGCTGATGACGGGTCTCCTGCCACCCAGAGGGCCCCTAACCAACCCCTCTTCCCTGCACCAGGACCTTCAGCCCTGAATCTTGGGGTTCTTTATGTCCTGTCCCTGCCTGGCCTTCCAGGAAGCCTGTTGGACTTTGTTCTATCCTGTTCCTCTGGAATCTGGGCGGGGCTGGAGGGAAGGAAGAAGCCGAGAAGGGACTGGGACCAGGACTCCCTGACCAGCACCTGGATTCCTTGCAGCCAGTGGGGTGGTATCCTTTGAGCAGCCTGAGTACACGGCCAGCCGCGGGGAGCAGGTGGCCCGCATTCCTGTCATCCGGCACATCTTGGACAATGGCAAGTCCCAAGTCTCCTACCGCACACAGGATAATACAGCACAGGGCAACCGGGTAAGGATTGGTCAAGGGGTTGAGGCACATCTGAGAAATTCAAGGGTTATCCACTGAGTTCCTAGAACAGAGCAGGATATGGCAGCTGGCCTCATCCTCAGATGTTAGCAGTATCCCTAGATAAGGGTGTTCCTGCCACCCATGCTAGCAGTGGGTCATCCAAAGTGCCAACAACACATGGATAGAGCCCCATCACTGCCAGGGACTCAGGGAAAGGGGCTGAGGATGTAGCTTAGTTGGTACAGTGTTTGCCTAGCATGTATGAAGCCCTGGGTTCAATCCCCAGCACATGAATAGCTCATGGTGGCACATGCCTGCAATCCCAGTACTTGGGAGATAGAAGCAAAATGATCCAAAGTTTAAGGTCCTCCTTAGCTACACACTGAATTCTAGGCCAGTCTGGGATATATGAAACCTACAGGCCTGTTTGACCAATACAGGGTAACTAGTCCTCAGCAGACCCAGGCAACACAGCCACACCTAGTTTGCTTTATGCTTTCTTGTTTTTGTCTGGGTCATTGTTTTTGTTAAGACAGGGTCTCGCCAGGAGCCTGGGCTGGTCTTGCACTAGCAGGTCCTCTTGCTTCAGCCTCCCAAGTGCTGCGATTAGAGGCATGTACCACCATGTCTGTCCCTCCCTATTCTGCAAGTTTCTGCTCCCAGAGCCACTAGCCTAGCCAGTCATACTGGTAAATGAAATGCTAATTTGAAGCGCCACCTGGTGGTTCTTTTGAAAAAGAAGGCCTTTTCTTCCCATGCAATTGGGCAAACAAGCACATGTATTGCACATATCAAGAGGAATGCTGGCAGCTGGAGAAACAGCTTAGTGGTTCATCTTCCCAGCATAAGGCTGATGTCAGGGGACTTGAAAATGGGCCCCTGTCATAAGGGCAGTCAGATAAAGCACAGGATGCCCACATAAGTCTGAATTCCAGAAACAAACATTTTTCTTTCTTTAAGAGTAAGTATGGGGAGGGGCTAGAGAGATGGTCCAGGGCTTAAGAGCACTGACTGCTCTTGCAGACCACCTGGGTTCAGTTCCCAGCACCCACATGGCAGCTAACAACCATCTGTAACTCCAGTTCCAGGGGATTCGATGCCCTCTTCTGACCTCTGTGTGTACTGTATGACATGGGTGCACTTACACATATGCAGGCAGTACACTCACATACATAAATAAAAAAAGAAAACCCCGAGTAATCCAATTTAAATAATGAATAAATGATTGGAATAGACATTTTTTTTTCTCTGCCTCCCAAGTGCTGGAATTAAAGGCGTGTGCCACCATGCCCAGCTAAATTTCTCTTTTTAAAGAATAAAGTAGATGGCAGGCATGGTGGCACACACCTTTAGTCCCAGCACTCATTTGGGAGGCAGAGGCAAGTGGATCTCTGTAAGATCAAGGCCAGCCTGGTCTACATAGTGAGTTCCAGGCCAACCGGGGCTATAGGGAGACCCTGTCTCAAAAAGACAAATATTAATTAATAATAATAATAAAATATAGAGGGGGTTAGAGAGATGGTTCAGTGGTTAAGAGCACTTTCTGCTCTTACAGAGGACCCAGGTTTAGTACCTAGCACCCACATGGCAGCTAACAACCATCCTTCCAGGATCTGAGGCCCTCTTCTGGCTTAAGTACACATGGTGCACTTAAAGTAAAAATAAAACTGGGCCGGGCATGGTGGCACACACCTTTAATCCTACCACTTGGGAGGCAGAGGCTGGAGGATGTCTGTGAGTTCAAGGCCAGCCTGGTCTACATAGGGAGTTCCAGGCTAGCTGGTGCTACAGGGAGACCCTGTCTCAAAAAGGCAAGAAATAAAAAAAATAAATAAATAAACCTAAAAAAGAAAGGAAGGAAGGGAGGGAGGAAGGAAGGGAGGAATGAGAGAGGGAGGGAAGGAGGGAGGGAGGGAGGGAGGAAGGAAGGAAGGAAGGAAGGCTGGAACTGATAGAACTCCACCTAGCAAGAAGGGTCTGCAGCCCCAACTGAATCCCAGATTTCAGAGCCACTGCACAGGGGACAGTTCTTCCTCTCCTGGGTGTGCCTGCAATCCCAGCTGCCCAGGGCTAACTTCCTGCTTGTGAGGGACTCTCTGTGCAGCGAGTTTCTCTCTGCCAATAACTTAGGCAAGTTCCTCAACCCTCAGTGGGGCTTATTTGTGAACTAGGACAATAATGTCTCTGCATCACTGTGATGTGAGGATTGAGCTAATACTTAACACTTGCATCCAGCAGGTGCTATGTAGACAGCAGTGACTTGTCTAGTGATGGGCTCTGTGGTACAGTGACCAAATGAGTGTCCTGTCCCTTCCTTCAGAAGACTGTAATTTCGGAGCTGCCTCACCCTAGAAGCCCCAGTCTGACCCTGATTTTTCCCATTCCAGGACTATGTCCCTGTGGAGGGTGAGCTGCTGTTCCACCCTGGGGAGACTTGGAAGGAGCTGCAGGTGAAACTCTTGGAGCTGCAGGAAGTGGACGCCCTCTTGCGGGGACGCCAGATCCGTCGCTTCCATGTTCAACTCAGCAACCCCAAGTTTGGGGCACGCCTGGGCCAGCCCAACTCAGCCACTGTCATCATCGGGGAGCAAGGTGGGCAGAGCCTGTGGTCAGCATATGCTGGTAGGGTAGAAGGCTGGAGACCTTTCAGTAGAGCTCTAGACTCAAAGGCACATCCAGGGTGCTTGATCTACTGTGAATTCCATGTAACCAATACTTGGAACAGAAGTATGTCACCACAATATTTAAACACACATATTCTTGGTTTTTAGAGGTATTTATTTTGAGGCTTTTTTTTTTTTAATCTTTTTGAGACAGGGTCTCCCGGTAGCCCCAGCTGGCCTGGAACTGGATATGTAGACCAGACTGGCCTCAGATTCACAGAGATCTGTCTGCCTCTGCTCCCAAGTGCTGGGGCTAAAGGCACATGCTACCATGCCCAGCCTTTGAGACATATTGTTTGTTTGTTTGTTTGTTTGTTTGTTTGTTTGAGACAGTAGCCCCAGCTGGCCTGGAACTCCACATGTAGACCAGGCTGGCCTCGATCTCACAGAGACCAGGCCTGCTTCTGCCTTCCAAATGCTGGGATTGGCTTGTATATTAACACTACCACACGTGGCCCAACACTTACTCTTTTTTTTGTAGATTTAAAAAAATTATTAGCTCTCTCCTTCCACCATGTGGGACTTGGGGATGGTGCTCAGGTTGTCAGGCTTGGCAGCAAGTGCCTTTGCTCACTAAGCCATCTTGCTGGCCCCATACATATTCTTTTTACAAATTTTTATTTTTAGCTTATGTTTATGAGTCCTTTGCCTGCATTGTACATAAGTACACTCATACATGCAATGCCTGCAAAAGACCAGAAGACGGCATCAAATCCCTTGGAACTGGAGCTAAGGATGGTGGTTAGCCACCATGTGGGTGCTTGCAACTGAACCTGGGCCCTCTGTAAGAGTGGCTGGACCATCTTAACTGCCGGACCATCTTAACTGCTAGACCATCTCTCCAGCTTCCCCCGTACTTATTCTTAAAGAAAGAAAAATATTTGTTATCTGGAACTCAGACTTATCTAGGCATCTTAGCTGCTGCCCTCATGACAACCAGAGGCTAGGATCATGTGGCTTTTGCCTCAAGTCCCCTGACCTCAGCCTTATGCTGCATCCCTGGGAAGGAGAGCTCCTTAGCCTTCAAGCAGGGAAATGTCTGTAAGACCACCCTGGAAGCACTCAGGGGAGGTGGGTAGAGATCAGCACAGAGCAGATGCTCTCTGAGGACCATTCCCTGGGCTACCAAGGTAGAAAGACGGGCAGACAAATCCCCTTCTCACGCCTCCAGAGAGTCCCCTGGGCCTTCATCTACCTTCCCCTGCTACCTACAAGGGCAGGTGAGTAAATCTTAATTGAACCTCTAAGACAGGAAGCCTGGGGTGTTTAACTGAAACTTTGGTGCCTCCTGGTGGTAAAAGAGATGAGTCAACTGCTGACCCTCTACCCCTTTGACTAGATGAAGTGGACAGGAGCCTCATAAATCAGACCCTTTCATCACCACCACCCCGAGGAGACCTGGGTGCCCCACAGAACCCCAATGCCAAGGCCGCCGGGTCCAGGAAGATTCATTTCAACTGGCTGCCCCCTCCTGGCAAGCCAATGGGGTACAGGGTAAGGTGAAGGGCATTGGGCAGGTCTGTCACTCATCTTCCCCTGGTGAGTGGACAGCCCCAAGGGAAGGGGAAGACATGCTTAGTTCCAGTGGGCAAGCCGAGCCAAACCAAACCAAACCAAATAACCATCTGTACCTTTGGAGGAGGGAAGACCCGTTCCTGAGTTCCTAAGTATTTTCCCTTCTCTGGAATGGGGCTCTTCCCCTGCCTGGGAGACCCTCTGTTCCACTCTAGTCCTGCTATGAGGAACTCCCCTCTCCCAGAGCTCCAATATCTTACATGTTCAAAGGGGACAGTAAGAACAGGGGATCAGGAGGTTTTCAGTACTTGCTGCCCTTCCCACTGACCACCATTCCCCAACAGGTGAAGTACTGGATCCAGGGTGACTCAGAGTCTGAAGCCCATTTGCTCGACAGCAAAGTGCCTTCAGTGGAGCTCACCAACCTATATCCATACTGTGACTACGAGATGAAAGTGTGCGCCTATGGGGCACAGGGTGAGGGTCCCTACAGTTCTCTGGTGTCCTGCCGCACCCACCAGGAAGGTGAGTCCTGTCATGTCTCCCTATCCACCCTAGCTACCCTTCTGTCAACATGCATAGCCCTTTCCTCCCTGCCATTGACCCACTAACAAGGTTCTTCCTGCCCCCTCCCAGTACCCAGTGAGCCGGGACGTCTGGCTTTCAATGTTGTCTCTTCCACGGTGACCCAGTTGAGCTGGGCCGAGCCAGCTGAGACCAATGGCGAGATCACAGCCTATGAGGTCTGCTATGGACTGGTCAACGAAGACAACCGTAAGAACCAGACTTTCCTGGCCCCAGGGACAGCAACCAGGGAGAGGCACTGAGCCCAGAGATCTGGGGCATTCCTGGGTACTCCAAGCCCTTTGTCCAAATCAGCTGATAAGCCTTAGGCATTGTGAGGGGGCATTGTCAAATGTGTGTTGGCACCTGGGATTTTACGTGTTCAACTATGGTTATTGGCCCAAAGGTTACCATCCACATAGGTAACCAAAGTGACTCTTAGGGCTGGAATAGAGTTGCTAGATTTAGCAGGATGGATCATTAGAGCCCAAGAGTTCAAGATAAGCTGGGGTTCAAGAAGGGGTAACAAGACCCCTTCTCAAAAACAAACACAAACCGGCTGGGGATGTAGGTCAGTTGGTAAAGTGCTTACCTAGCACGCATGAGGCCCTGGGTTCAATCCCTAGCACCACATAAATCCACCCTGAAGGTTCATCACCTATGATCCCAGCATGTGGGAGGTGGAGGCAGAAGGATCAGAAGTTCAAGACCATCACTGGCCACACAGCAAGTTGGAGGTTAGGTTGGCATACATGAGACCCTGTCTCAAAAACACAACCAGACAACCAGTCAAAACCCATGGGATGAAA